TATAACTCAAAATAATCTAACTTTACCCAACCCAACCTAACCAAATATACCCAATATTTCAACTATATGCCACAAACGTTTACTTTCAGTTAATATTAAATCTCATTAACACCAATAATAAACATTCTAACACAACAAAATACCGATTATGTTAAGACCAGACTCAGTTACCTTGCCGCAATGAACGTTTGAGAATGTGAGCCTCAGACGTTATGTCACGCGAGCGAAACAATAACACGGGCGTGACCTTGAGGCTAGCCAATCACTGACGCTGCCTCCACCAACGTGTATGTATATATGTATGTATGTATGTATGATGTGTGTATGTATGTATGTGTTATCTATATTCGTAGTCTGTTACATTAATTAAAAGTGATATCGGTAGTTTTAATGTTATCTTACGTGTGATCAGCAAAGATAACTAAGAATGCACTGTAGATTATTATCAAGACGTGTTATCCGAGGTCTTGGTGTTATCGATATCATTTTGTGTTATCAGCTATTTCATTAGTCTTGGGTTGTTATCAATAGCTAAGTTATTATCAATAGTCTTAGGTTGTTATCATTAATCAACCTTTGCCCCTTGAGTAGTCTTAGTGTTATCAATCATGTTATCATCACCTCTATTACTCTTATGCATCAATGATATCAGGATCGTCATCAGATGTTATATTGAATCATGATGTTATCCCCTTAGGCTGTTATCTTAGCCCTTCGCCTCCTTCCCCTCCCCCTACCTGTAATCATTAAGCATCAGGTGTTATCTCCACATCTGACTCAGGTCATCGTTGGATTTGTGTGTGTGTGTGTGTGTGTGTGTGTGTGTGTGTGTGTGTGTGTGTGTGCGTGTGACCTTTTCTCCTTCAACCTTACAGTCTCAGTGCAATATCGACGCCATTTTGAGTACAATGACTCAGATAACGGCTAAGAGAAGATGAGGTCATTCACTTATAGTCCAGTGACATTAAACCTGGAGTAAGGTGGTCGCTGGAGTAAGGTGGTCGCTGGAGTAAAGATTGGTCGCTGGAAATCGAAATTGGTCGCTGGAAGTAAGGTGGTCGCTCAAATAAAGGTGGTCGCTGGTAAAGACTGGTCGCTGGAAATACGGTGGTCGCTGGATAAAGTGGTCGCTGGAGTAAGGTGGTCGCTGGAATAAGGTGGTCACTGGAAGTAAGGTGGTCGCTGGAAATAAGGTGGTCGCTGGAGTAAGGTGGTCGCTGGAAGTAAAGTGGTCGCTGGAAATGGTGGTCACGGAATGGGTGGTCGCGCTGAAGTACGGTAGTCGCTGGAAGTAAAGTGGTCGCTGGAAGCAAAATTGGTCGCTGAGTAAGGTAGTGCTCGTCGTGATTACTCAAATATGTTAAGCCAATCTTTCAACATGATCTTGCAAAATCAACATTATCCTTGGACCGAAATTGATCAAAAGTTAGAGGCAACTAGATGACAATTAACCCAACCAGCTGCGCAAATTTCAACAAGAAAGGTTCACGTATGGCCAAGGTAAGGGTTGTTATAATCAGCTGAACGAGGTAGACGGACCAATTCAACCCAATCCAAATTCGCCACTGGTGATAAAAACGAGTCTTTGTGTAATGTCTGTTATTTCCTTCCTCTTAGCTCTCTTCCTTGGTCTATAAACATACGTGTATTGGTAAAGTGTGTAGGCAAGTAGCACTCAAACAATCCCAGCTAATAACATATCCAAACAATCACAGAAAGTAATACACTCCAAATAATCCCAGCAAGCAACACAATCAAACAATTCCAACAAGTAACACATCTATTCAATCCCAGCTAGTAACACACTCAACCAATCCTAAGCGAGCAACACGCCCAAACAATCCTAGCAAGCAGAACACTCAAACAATCCTAGCAAGCAGAACACTCAAACAATCCTAGCAAGCAGCAACATCCGACACCCCAGCAAGCAACACGAGATAGAATGAGAGAACCGTAGAAGAGATAAAAATATGAAGGAGGAGGAGGAGGAGGAAGAGAAGAAGGAGGAAGGGGAGGAGGAGGAAGAGGTGATTCACGTTAGAGATTTTACAAGATACCAAAACCTGTAAAGAAAGAAATAGAGAGAGAGAGAGGCAGGAGTTGCGAGAGTGTGGTATTTGGGCAACAGGAGTTGAGAGGCGACGTCGAGCTGAGTGAGTAAGCAGGGCAGAAACAGGTGGCCGCCTCCCCCTCCCACTCGCAGCCAAGCACGGTGCCATTCTGACCTTGTCTACAGAGTCATGCTTTGAAAAGACATGTAAGACATGCCGTTGAAGAGTAAAAAGCGGGGGGGTCAGGGAGATGGGGAGGAGACACTGGGGAAGGGGAGAAAAACAACTTAAGGTGGTACTGGGATTCTAGGACTGAAGGGGACGTGGTAGACTTCATGCCTCTCTCTCTCTCTCTCTCTCTCTCTCTCTACAAAAATTACAGGTGAATGAGTCTTCAAGAGGTGGAGCAGACGAACACATGGCCATAACGAGTCCTTCCCACTGACCACTGCCAAGGATAACCTACGTGTCCCTCTGTATCCTACATAACAAGTGTACTAGGCAGGATATCTACAGTGTTGCCTGGTGTAATAATGTGTACTAGGCAGGATACAGTGTTGCCAGGTGTAATAATGTGTATTAGGCAGGATATCTACAGTGTTGCCTGGTGTAATAATGTGTACTAGGCAGGATACAGTGTTGCCTACATCATGAGTATTTGACTTGTGTGTCACCAAGTATCGCCACAACTACTATCACCACCAGCATAACTATTATGTTGACTACCCTCACAACTATATCACCACTATCACCACCACCACTACTACCACCATTACCCTCAACTAATACTACTGCCTTCATCTCTAATCGTTGATGGCCATTGTCAATAATATACTTCACCTTTTAGAAGAGAGAGAGAGAGAGTTCAGTAATCCCTCTTGACATCTCAGGAACATTAAAACCACGAGTACATCAACGCGACAATATTATCAAAAAACCCAAACAAAAAAACCCACAGCTTTGGGGGTTTGTGTCTCCTTATAGCAACTTTTACCCATTTTAAAATCCAAAACACAAACACAAATTCCATCGACCTCCACTACCAGAGTCCCAAACATTGTTATATGACGCAGTAAACCCCATCTCCTTCCTCCTGCTGCTGCACCTTACCTCTCTTGCCCCTCCTCATCATCTCCCCTGGCGTGAGACGTCATGGTGACCTCGCAGAAGGCGCGGAGGAGAGCATTTTCCCAGGGATGTTAGCGGGCAGGGAGGAGGGGGAGAGAGAGAGAGAGAGAGAGAGAGGGCAGGTGGCGGGGAACACGTTGACTGTACCTTACGCGGCACATAGCTCCTGTGGACGCCGCCCCTGACTCACGCCACAAAAATCTACCTCACTCTTGACTGCTGGTGGAGTCCCTTTACCACACGGCTCGGTTCCTGTTGATGACTTGGTACTCTAGTGACGGACCCTTAGTGACTGGTTCTGGAGATGAGTGGGACTGATAACTGGTTGTACCGAGTGTTGGGATGACTGAGGAAGTGCGTATAAAAGGCTTTCTGGTTACTTGCTATTTGGGGAGGGGAGGGGAGGGGAGGGGAGAACAAAGTGTGTGAGGAAGGATGGTGGGGGAGAACTATGCAGGAGAGATGAGAGAACAAGAAGAGGTGACAGGAAGAGAGAAGAATCCAAGGTAAAAGGGAGAATAGGCGAGGACAGAATAACTCATAGGAGAGGGAGGCCAAAGGAGGGGAGGGGAGAAGAGGTCATAGAAGAAGCAGGACAAGAGAGGGAGGGGAGAAGAACGGAGGGGAGGGGAGAAGAGGTTATAGAAGAAGCAGGACAAGAGAGGGGAGGGGAGAAGAGGGGAGGTGCACCAATGTATCCAATTAGAAAGCCAAATTACATTCCTGCATGGTCAATTAACTGAGAAAATTGGCGGTGTAATGAATGTTTACTATTAGGGTGATGACTGGGGTTAGGTATACCGTGTGTGTGTGTGTGGCTAGAAGCTTACACACACACACACACACACACACACACACACACACACACACACACAGTAAACTCGTGTTGTCAAGATGATGTGGCAGGGGAAGGACGCTTGTAGTGTCAGCTGCGGAGGACACACACTATCTCCACCTGGTCCTGCTCTCCCTCCCTCCCTCCACTCACACACACCACAACACACACTAACACACACACACAGAGTTCACCTTCCTATGATTCATCTTCTCTCTCTTTTTCATTCTTTTGTCAGAATGTCATTTCCATGTCTTCTTTCTAACCCCTTGAGTACGATGACTTATTACCTTGGATATGACGACTTCACCCACGATGACTTAACCCCTCGAGTATGATAATCTACCCTCTTGACTAGATGAAAAACTTAATTATGAGACGATAGACGGGATGAACCTTCACCTCATTACAGATACTAACAATAACAACAACAACAACAATAACAACAACAATAACAACATGACTGAACGTTTGTCGGGTGCTGGAAGTCTCTTGAAATATAACATAAAAATTACCAGAGACATTAACACCAACTGACGTTACCCATACAGAGATTCGAACAGGTGACCAATGGATCTCGAACCAGGATAACCACTCAGCCAATATATACAATAGCATTAAATATCAGTAAATGTTGACATAATATACTGGTACAAAATATAATAGGAATATTCTAGAATAAAACTGAGAAATGTTTTAGTAAATATTACAAGGAAAAGTTAACACAGTACTGGCCGTTCTTCCTGGCCTTGAGAGAGAGAGAGAGAGAGAGAGAGAGAGAGAGAGAGAGATACATACATGCAAAGAAACATACATACATACATACATACATGCAAAGAAACATACATACATACATACTGTACATACATACATACATACATACATACATACATACATACATACATGAAAACAATGATAGAGAGATACATACATACAAACACAGAGAGAGAGAGAGAGAGAGAGAGAGAGAGAGAGAGAGAGAGTACCTGTCTGATGGTGGGTTTCTCATGGTCATGGTCGGACCCCTGAGACATAGGAGACATGGGTGACATAGGCTCCTCCGCGTCCACCCGCATCTGTTCCTCCTGTAACAACCAACGCCGGAGTCAGTAGGGGTGGTGGGGGTGGGGGTGGGGGGGAAGGGGTAGTTGGGGGGTAGGTAGTTGGTGGGTAGGTGGGTTGGGGGGTGGGGTAAGGGGGGTGGTAGTTGGGGGTAGGTGGATGGGGGTGGTGGAGGGTGGTGGTGAGGGGAGGGAACAGGTGAAAATGGGTGTTGGGAGGAGGAGGGACAGGGAGGTGAGGGAGGAGGGGGGGGAGGATGGGAGGAGGGCAGTGGAGGAGGGGGCGGTGTTGGGGGGGAGGAGGAAAAAATTAAAACTGAAGAAAAAAGTTGACAAACAATAAAACAAAAAATTAAAACAAACAAAATAAACAACAAAATAACAAAAGAATCATCCACAAAAAACAATATTAATTTTAGTATAAACATTAAGATACAATAAACACTAATAAACAAACAAACACAAACACCATTAAAATATTCTACAAATGTAACATAAAAATATTAACAATATAACAATAATTAGAACACATTTTATACAACAATCAACAAAATCAGATCTGAAACTCACCATTCTTCACTGCGTTAGTCAGCTCAATATCCGCCTTTCCTGATCTGACTGAGGAGGTTGTTTTTCCCCAGGTGCGACTTAAAACAGCCACTGAGCAATCCCCGGTCACCCTTTAGTTTACATATGGCGTCACACACACACACACACACACACACACACACACACACACACCTGTTGTGCATCACTTACTAAGAAGAGGTTACCTGTGGCTCTCGTGGTGTGGAGAAGTTTATTTTCATAGATGACAGTAGGTGGGGGTCTGTCTGTCTGTCTCTAACTCACTCTATCTGTGTGTGTGTGTGTGTGTGTGTGTGTGTCTTACCCTCTTATCTATCTATCCATTGAACCTTTAAAGATCTATTAAGTGATCAGGTGCTGTGGTTAGGTGATCAGGTAGAGAGGTTAGGTAACTCACTTGAGGCCATTCACTCGTAACTCGCTGTACTCAAAAGGTTCGATATATAAAGAAAAAAATAAACTCTCGGGTTTTAATTCCAACAAAAAATAATACAAATGGTTTACAAACTTACCACTGTGTGTGAGGGTCAGTAAATTGTCGCACTTGAGCTTAAACAAGGTAATAAAGAAGTAAAATGGGTAAAACACTTACCAGTTTGGAAGTAAAGTGTTGTCCGAGGAGGAGGTTCTGGAGAGAGAACCTCCCCTGACCTCCATGGCCTCTGGACAGCATGACGTCACACATAAGGTCGCTGGTGTTGGCCTCCCCGCTCCACATAAAACACTGCTTCTCTCAACTCACTACTAAGGGTCTTAAAGATTACTTTTGGCACTGGCTTGAGCTTCACTGTTTGTCTTTGTTTTTAATTTGTCAAGAGGTTCACAGGTAACTGGGTGGCGGGCGCTGATCAACACTTGGAAGGCACTTTTCTCTCTCTACCTCAGGGCTACTACTGGTTACAGTAATAAGGTTATCACAGTCGGCATCACAGGCAGGCGCTGGCACCAACACTGGCCCGCTACACGGGCCGGTCTGCTACACACGGCAGGTCCTCTACGCGGGAGACTGTCTTCCGGGAGCTCCTCTAAATGGAGTTCCTCTACATGGATCTACAACACGGGGTGTCGTCTACAAGGCAGTAAGCCTGAGCGTTGGGATATCGCTACACACAATTGGACTACGAACCAGGATTTGCGTAGTTCGTCATCTATTGACCATCAACAGCCTCGGTGTCATGTCCAGTGGTCGTAAAGTTCTGCTTAACATTTAGAGCAACTTTTCCTGCATCATGAAGCTCAATAATTTCACATACATTGATAAAATAACCTGTGTGTGACAAAGTGTTAAGTGAGAGGATGAAATCTGGCCAAGACACGGGTCAGAGTCCACCAGTCATGGACCTCCGTAGCGACCAGGTGAGGCGAAAGTCACACTGGCGCGGGGTCACCCACACCAACCTTCTGCCCAACATTAAAATTCTCGTAGTGTTAATAATCATGAACGTGGTGTTGCGGCCGTCCGCTGTGTCATGGTCAAAAGATAGATTTTCAGGAAAGTGCTCGAGGTACGAGTATAAATTAACACGATCGCCCTGATAACGTTCCGTGAAGAACAACTGAGGAACACTGCAGCAGGTGTACTCGAGCGGTAGGGAACATGTGAACCCAGAATGCATGTGGGTCACAGAGTCCTGGTACACAGTAAGCCTGTCCGCCCGGGTCTGACACCTCCCGCCCGCCCGCTGTCTTCCACCAACAATCTTGAAAATTGTGTCACAAACTGCAGTACCCGTACCTGGATCTTCCCTTATTTTCTTTTACCACAACAGTCCCCCCACCCCCCAGTACTCATAAAGAAGAGAGACGCGGGTAAAACAAAGCGAGAGCGCCAGGCTGAGAGGCGCATCACTACCATAACAAAGCCACGTGCCAGGGGGGAGGCGGCCGCTACGCAATAAGACGTCTAAATATACCTGGAAGCTGCTAATTTTACCCCAGGGAGCTACTTCTCTCCTCCTTGAAGGTGAGAAGTTGTCACGGCGTCAGCAGGTGAGAGGCTAAAGTGCTGACACGAGCGGCGAGGGATCCACAACAACAGGGGGAGGAGGAGAGGAAGGGGACGCAGCAGGGGAGGGGAGCGAGATGGTGAGGTCAGGGGTGTTCCCAGCGGCGAGAGAGCCAAGAACGCAGTGGCTGTGGGTGCGGGTGCCAGGGCTCCTCACTACGTAATCTCCTACATACCTCCACCTCACAAAGACTCTCCGGGTCGTTCATGTCGCCAGTTTTTACAGGTTTGAGGCTGACATTCCTGACTTTATAAATACGGAGATGTTGAATGTGTGCTACAGGAGGTCAGTAATATGTGTTGTGGGGGTACTCGGGGTACTCTTTGACGTCGAGTGAACGAGAAAATATAATGACTGACTGATGTTGACTTGTTTTAGGGATAATAATTGACGGTAATTACTGAGGTCATTACGCAGGTCATTTATTTGTCAGGAAGTCAAGGACAAATAATCAAACTTCCCCATATATTAGTTCTCCTTTACCTGCCATCATCACACCTGTCAACACCTTCCACTAACTATTTGTATATTTGTGTAAAGTGTCAAGTATTAAGTAGTTTTATACACATCACTTATAATACCATCTGGGTGTAAAGTGGCATCAAATGGTGTGGAGTGCTTCTACAGACGACTTATAACATCATCTGTGAGAGGTCAAGCATACCCACAACCTCGATACCATGTTATCCAGAGAAGTGTAAAAAATAAATAAATAAATAATCAAAAAACAATAATTCAAAAGCAGAGAGAGAGAGAGAGAGAGAGAGAGAGAGAGAGAGAGAGAGAGAGTTTGGCAAAATGATTGTGTTAGCTTAGTTCTGCACCTCTGCAACAGAAGAGAATACCACTATGAAATGTTGCAAAGTGTCTATATACCATGCACTTGAAGACTGGCTGGTGATGTGAGGAGAGAGGAAAGGTGTACGGAGATAACTCCAACTGTTGGGAGAAATATGCAGGAGAGGAGGGAAGAGGAAGGAGGAGGATGGGTAAGAGTGTGTGTGTGTGTGTGTGTGTGTGTAGAGTGCGTGTGTGTAGAGTGCGTGTGTGTGTAGTGTGCGTGTATGATGGCAGGTGGTGGCTAGGTAAGTACAGTGTCCATATTGGTAGTTACGAGATGATGATGATTTAAAATTTCAACCTACCCTAACCTAACCCTAACGTAACCTAACGTAACTCCACCCAGGTAGTGTTAGGTGAATTTACGGTAAAATGATGAAATAAATTATATAGCATTTTGTCTTAACTGATCACGCCCTTGGTCCACACACACACACACACACACACAAATTCGGATAAAAAACACGCACACAAACCAAAAACAAACACAAGAAAACAAACAAAACACAAACACACACAGGTGGCTGAGAACAAGGTTGAAAGATAATTTATTATAATCTCATATCATTCGTCAGACCACCTGCAAATGTAGACCAAGTGTGTGTGTGTGTGTGTGTGTGTGTGTGTGTGTAGTGTAGTGTAGTGTAGACCAGCCCTCAAGTGTATGTGTTTGTAGTGTAGATGCTCACACTAGGAGTACTACTATTACGAGTTCTACAACAACTACTGCTACCACTACTATTACTACTACTATTTATCGTAGACTCCAGCCTCCCCCAATAGCTACACTATTACTACTACTACTACTACTACTACTACTACTACAAAATACTATATACAGTTTTTACATCAAAATTCCAGTGTAGTAGAAACGCTGAAAAAAATTATCATAATTATATTAGTAAACACAAATAAACAAATTATAAAAACTAATTATTTGTTGACGATAACTTGCCACGAGAGAACAGTGACTAAATTGGCAACTTGAACCAGTCTACTCACTAATTACTCATAACTACCTTAACCTCACACCTGTCTACTCACTAATTACTCATAACTAACCTTAACCTCACACCAGTCTACTCACTAATTACTCATAACTACCATAACCTCACACCAGTCTACTCACTAATTACTCATAACTACCTTAACCTCACACCTGTCTACTCACTAATTACTCATAACTACCTTAACCTCACACCTGTCTACTCACTAATTACTCATAACTAACCTTAACCTCACACCTGTCTACTCACTAATTACCCATAACTACCTTAACCTCACACCTGTCTACTCACTAATTACTCATAACTACCTTAACCTCACACCTGTCTACTCACTAATTACTCATAACTACCATAACCTCACACCAGTCTACTCACTAATTACTCATAACTACCTTAACCTCACACCTGTTTACTCACTAATTACTCATAACTACCATAACCTCACACCAGTCTACTCACTAATTACTCATAACTACCATAACCTCACACCAGTCTACTCACTAATTACTCATAACTACCTTAACCTCACACCTGTCTACTCACTAATTACTCATAACTACCTTAACCTCACACCTGTCTACTC